AACAGGCCCTGGGCCTGGGCCTCCCAGTTTCCCAAGTGTTAGCCCTGGGAGGAGTAGATGAGGTGACCTAAGTGTCTCTGAACCCAGTCCCTCTACCTGTTTTTTTTTTTCCTACTGGGGATACAGGAAGATACAGAATCTTGAATCTTGGTTCCTGCAAGGTCACCTGGAAGGACTCTTGTCCCCAGAGATCAAATTGCTGTCCCAGCCTTCTCTAGGAAGGAAATGGCCCTACTCTGAGGGTGGGACAGGAGGACTAAGGCACATGAGTGACCACTTTCCTCCACAGTAACTCATGCTTAGAGTTGTCACTTGAAATCCCACAAACACAGAAACAAAGCCAGGTCCAAGCTCACAGGCATCTGCAGATTCCCCAAAGACTTACACTCGTGGTCATAGGCATGCAGGCAGCCTCAGCACTGCTACGCCCCTGGAACCAGGTCAGAGGGCTCCCTACACCTCACACAGACTCTGGGAACAGCAGTGCCTCGTAGGCACTGGGTTAGAGGCAGGACAGTGGACTCCCCAGCTTCCCATTAGGGGAGCAACCTCAGTTCTGTAGGACAGAGGACAGATGGTCTTGCCTCCCAGTGCTGAGCTGAGCATCAGCTGGGTCAATAGGCACTGTCAGCAGCTCAGCTGGGTAAGTGAACACATCCCAGATGTCCCTAAGGCCTGCCCAGGAGCCTCCAGTGTCTGAAGAGGGACCGTTTGGCTGTTGGGGGAAAGGGAGATCCTGCACACTCCAAACGCTAGCCACCCTCCCCATCCCCGCCCTGGGGACCAGCTGGCCTTAGAAAGACACTTGTTCTTTCTGCGATCCTCTCCCCACTGGGAACTGGGCCTGATCTGCCTGGATGGATGGGAGGCAAAAGGGGACTGGAGTCTCCTTAGGTAGGATGGAGAAGTGCCCCTGATCTCTTTGGAATCCTGTGTGTTGTGGAGCCACAGACTGATGTGTGTGTTGTGGGAGGAATAGGCATGCATCCTGGCCTTCCCTGTCCCTGTGAAAGTAAGGAGGGTAATGATATCCCTTCTTTGGAACTGCTCCCCACTCTTGGGAGTTCTTTCTCATTTTTTCTCAACAAATCTACATTTACTATGAAAAAAAAGGAAGGAGGGGGAGGAGGAGGAGGAAGAAAGGAATGGAAGGGAGGAAGGAAGGAGAGAGAAAGAATGGAAGGGTGGGTGGGAAGAAGGCCCAATGCATCGGCCTCCCTAACTGGAGGAGGAGGGGTTAGGCACTGTGAAAATGGAAATTTTGGAGGCAAGTGACTTTCTTTGTGGCCTTCATTTCACACCAGTGAGTGGACCAGTCCTGGAGCACGTGACTGTAAAATGAGAGAGTAGCCGAGCATGGTGGCGCACACCATGGGAGGCAGAGGCAGGTGGATCTCTGTGAGTTCAAGGCCAGCCTGGTCTATGTAGTGAGTTCCAGGACAGCTGGGGCTACAGGGAGACCCTGCTTCAAAAAGATGAGAGAGAGAGAGAGAGAGAGAGAGAGAGAGAGAGAGAAGAGGAGGGGAGGAGAGGAGAGGAGAGGGAGAAGAGAGTTGGGTTAGTCCAGGTCCTGAGAATTTAGGAGGGGCTGGTGCATAAGAGGAGCCTCAGCTTGGCTGGTTAGCTGGTCACTGTGGAGGGTACTGGTTTGGGACAGGCACTGAGCCAGGAGTGAGGCAGAGGTTGGGGGACACAGATGAGCATATAGGTAAGTAGAAAAATCCAGGTAGCAGAGCTAACAGAGAGAGGGGAGGAAAAAGAAGGCAGGGTAAGGCTGGGAGATGCAGGGACCCTCAGCCTGTCCACCTACCTGTCTGTCCCAGACTGGTTTCTTTGCCCCAGAGCCTCCTCTGTCCCACTCCAGAGACACTGCAGCAGGTCAGGGCCTTTGGGCTTCCCAGGCTGTGAGTGGGGAATCAAGTACAGTCCTCCCCCTACTTCCAGGCCCTGAGCCCCAGACAGCCCTGCTTTGACAGGGCTCAGTGATTGTCCCCAAGTACTCCTCCTACTGCCTGACCTGCCGCCCTGGCCTCCCTCTCAGCCACCAAAGCACTGAGGGGGAAGGGGCTGTCCAATCCCATTAGGCAGAAGGCCCCTAAGGGTGGAGGACTGATGTGAACCCTGCTGCTGATGCTGCTGAGGCCATGCATCCACCCTCCACCCCCCCCCACCACTGCCAGCTTGGGGCTCCTCTGGGAAGGTCAGATGAGGGTTTTATGCAGTGATTGCTAGAACCTTCCCCAGGGGATGGGCCAGGAGTATATCAAAGACTCAGACCAAATGCCTCCCAGGATTCTCAAAGGATGCCTGTGTGACAGTTCAAGCAGCTCCTACCCAGGGCCTACATCCCTCTTGTCCCCAATCCCTTCCCCCCCCCACCGTCTGTTTGAAACAGGGTCGCCCTGTAGCCCTTGAACTCACAAAGATCTGCCTGCCTCTGCCTCCCAAGTGCTGGGATTAAAGGCGCTAAAGGCGTGCGCCATCAAGCCGGGCCCTTGTTCTTATTTTACTGGGACAGCTAATGGGAACTTTGTCCTTGAAAACAAACCCTCAGAGAGTTTTTCCTGTCTGTAATTGTAATGACTTCCCCACAAGCCAGCACTTAGCTTCTGAGGTCAGAGGCGAGGCCCCTTCCTTCTACCCAGTGAGCCCCTGGACTGAGCCACTGGAGTGAGCCACCGGAGCATCTTCCTGGAACTTCCAGAATACCATACCTCACCCTGCCTACCAGTCACCAGACAGTATGGTAATATTTAGGCTTTTTTATTTAAGAACAAAACACGTCCTTGGGCCTGTTAGCAACATACTCTGTTCCAAAGGCCAAAAATATCAAAAGTATTTGGGAGCTTTTATCTAATCCTTAAAAGATTTTAGGGTTACCTCTTCAGAGGGGGGAATGTTGGAGGGGAGGGAATGGGCATAGATTTGATCAAAACACCTTATATACATGTATGAAATTCTCAATAAAGTTTTTGTAAAAGTTAAAATAAATAAATAAGAGAAAGAAAAAAGGAAAAAAGACTTTTTTTTCTTTTAATTCTTCACTAGAGCCAGGCAAGGTGTTGTACCTCTGTAATCCCAGCGCTTGGGAGGCTAAAGCAGGAAGATCACAAGTTCCAGATTAGCCTGGGCTGCATAGTGAGATCCCATCTCAACTCATAGCTCAGTTGGGAGAAGTACTTGCCTAGCATGCACAAAGCTCTGGGCTGGATTCCCAGCACAAAAGCTGGGCATGGTAGGCCATAAATGTAGTCACAGTGCTTGGGAGATGGAGGCCAGATAAGAAGTTCAAGATCATCCTTGCCTGCATGAGAAGTTTGAGGCCAGCCTGAGTTACATGAGACAACAGGGGACTGGAGAAAGATCTCAGTGAGAGATTGCTGATCTTGCAGAGGACTCGTTTGATTTCCAGCACCCAGGCAAGCCGCCTGTAACTCCAGCTCTAGGGGATCTGATGCTTCCAGCCAAGCACCACACACATACATGCATGTATTGAAACACACACACTCAAATACTTAAAAATAATTTTAAATTTTTAGCTGGGCGTGGTGACGCATGCCTTTAATCCCAGCACTTGGGAGGCAGAAGCAGGCGGATCTCTGTGAGTTCAAGGCCAGCCTGGACTACATAGTGAGTTCCAGAACAGCTAGGGCTACAGAGAGACCCTGTCTCAAAAAAGATCAAAAAATTTTTTTTAATCTTAAAAAAAATTCAAACAAGCAAACAATTCACTACCTAAGCAGTAAAGTCCTCTGAGGACACTAGCTTCCCACATCACCTCAGGCCACTTCCTGCAAGGTGTCAGGGATTCACACTGCCTTTACCTGCAGGGCTCACTCAGTTTAAGACCTTTGCTGCTTCTCCTCTTGTTTTTTAAAGAATGTGTTACCATTGGTTTTAAGTGGTACAGCACTTGCCTAGCATGCTGTTTGAGGTCCTGGATCCTCAGCACTACCGAAAAAGAAAGGGAGGAGGAGGTGGAGGAGGAGGAGGAGGAGGAGGACAAGGAGGAGGAGGAAAAGGAGGAGGGGGAGGAGGGGGAGGAGGAGGAGGGGGAGGAAGGGGGAAGGAGAAAACAAATAATCACTCTTTGAAACACATATTATCTTCTTGGAGAGGAGGGCTCTGGCATTACCAGGAACAACACAGGCTCAAAGACACACAGCAGAGCCAGGCTGGAGTACAGTGCCCTCCTGTCTCTCTGCTGCAGTCTCCACCTCCCAGGTGAGGGGAACTACAGGACAACTGTGGCTGAGTCATAACCCTTGTCCTAGTTTGTTCTTCATTGCTGTGACAAAACACTCTGACCAGTACCAACTTGGGGAGGAAAGGGTTTATTTGTCTTACATCTCCCAGGTCGCAGTTCATCAGGGAGCCCAAGGTAGGAACTCAGAGCAGAAACCTGGAGGCAGGAGCTGGAGCACAGGCCATGGAGGAACGCTGCTTACAGGCTTGCTCCCCTGGCCCCTGCTCAGCCAGCTTTCTTATGCAACACAGGCCCACCTGCCCAAGGGTGGTACCACCCACAGTGGGCTGGGCCCTCCCACATCACTCATCAAGAAGATGCCCTTCAGACATGGCCACAGGCCAGTCCAATAGAGGCAATTTCCCGATTAAGGCTCCCTCAACCCAGGTGTGTCAAGTTGACACTAAAGCTATCCAGCACAACCCTTCTTGTGGGCTCAGAAAACACTCTAGAGGCCCCAACTTCCCTTGTACCTCTCCATCCAGCCACATCTCCCTGAAATTCCAGTACTTAGACCTGCTTTATCTGGCCCAAGTGGCATCTGCTTCCTTGCCTGGGGCCCTGAAAAGCAGTAGATCATCTTACGGGAGTTCTGCAGAAGTCCCTTCTCCTTCCTCTTCTAGGGCTGGATGTGCCAGTTCTGAAGCTACAGGTGGGGAGGTGGAGGGTACCCCTCCAAGAGCAGGCTTGGGACCTGTGAACTCTAAGACTCAGTGTCAGTAGGGAGTAGAAAGATAGCCATGTCATTTGGAACTTTTATTTTCCATTGAACTAGAAGAGAGTCCAACTATGGGATCCAGAGAGTTCTACAAGAACAGAATAAAATTTGGCTGGGCCCTGGGCCCAGAGAAGACCTGGAGTTGCCTGGGCTACTGTTCAGTGCCAGCTCCAGCCTTGGCACTCTGCCTCTCAGACAGCATTGCTCAGATCCCAGAGCCCACAGTGGCAGCTTCTGAGGCTGTGGCTGCAGCTGCTGCCCTGCCCAAGGAGGGGTGCGGGCTGTGCTTCGAGTGACCAGGGAAAGAATCTTAGAAATTACATAGTCCATTCCCATTTTACAGGTGAAGCCCAGAAAGAGCAGCAGCTTCCAGAACAATGAAGGAGAAAACTGGAACAGGCCTTCTGTCTATCCAAAGCTGTCTCTGAGAGCATTTGAGAGCTGGTGTCTGGAGGGACTGGGTACCCAAAGGATGTGTGTCTCTGTGTGCCAGGATGCATCTGTGGCAAATGAGCCAGGGCTTCTGTGTCCTTCTGTGAGTGCTCTTGTGTGCAGGAACAGGGGGCTGCACCCAGAGAGGGCCGGGCCTAATCTCATCATTTTGGAAAACCTCCCAGGCTGAGAAGGGAATAGGTTACAAGGGAGAGAAGGAAAATGGGAGCTTGGCTGGTGGTGAAGAGGGAGCGACCAAAGGCAGGATTGGACATGGTTGAGAAGACTCTGAGGTTGAAGCAGGGAAAACAATGTCCAAAATGGGGTAGAGGTCTCTGGAAGTTTAGACACCCTCTTAGCCCTCCTGTGGACCCAGCCCTCTGGCCATCCCAGGGGCAACGCCAAGGGAAGTGGTCACATGATGTGGCACTTCTCAGCTGATTGCTTAAGGTTTCCCAGTGTAGTCTGGGCCTTGTCCTTGAGTGAGCTGAGGTCCAAGCCAGGGAGGCTGGCCAGATGCCCAAGCACAGAGGCCTTCTCCTCCTCCTCTTCTGTATCCTCCTCGATCATCTTGGCTAGCTCCCGAGGCAGCTCCACGTCTCCACCTGCCAGCTGGATCTGGCTTTCATCTGTCTCGTTCTGAAGGGAAGAGAGAAGGGACAAAGGTAGAAGTCTGTGAGAATCTAGTGGTATAGGGCTTGGAAGAAGCCCAGACTAGGTTCTAGAGCCCTAGATTCCTCAGCACCATGTTCCCGTGGGCTCAGTACCTGCCCCCACATCTCAGTCAAGCCTCTCATGGGTAGATATAGTGACTGCTCCTTTAAACATACTACTTTCAGACTACCTCACGTCACTCTGAGATACTGAAGGAATAATAGAAACAAAATTAAAAGGAAAATGGGCTAGATGCAGTTGCACACACCTTTAATCCCAGCATTTGCCAGGCAGAGACAGGAAGATATCTAGGAAATTGAGGCAAGCCAGGGCTACATAGTTAGAACCTGTCTCCAAAAAGTCACATTGGTACAGTCAGCTAAGTCATGTGTTGGCCATTGCTAATTGCACTGATAGACACACAGGCAATAATAAGGATAGATACCATTTACCAATGCTTAGTCTATGGTTGACAATGAGATGGGTGCATTCTATTCTTTTTTAAAGATTTATTAGTTAGGGTGGGAGAAATCCCTCAGTGATTAAGAGCTCTTGCTCTTCTTACAGAGGATCTGGGTTCAGTTCCCAGCACCTACATGGTAGCTCACAACTACCTGTGACTTCAGTTCCAGGAGATCTGATGCCCTTTTTTGGCCTCTGAGGGAAAACTGGGCATTCACAGGAGGGTACATGCAGGCACTCATACATACACATAAAATAAAAATAAATATTTTAAAAGATTTATTGTTTAGTTATATGTATGTATGTGTGTGTCTGTATGTGTGTATGTGCATGTGTGGGAGAATGTCCTTGGAGTCTAGAGGAGGGTGTCATATCCACTGGAATTGTAGTTACAGGTAGTTGTATGGTCCATATCTGTAATCCCAGCATTCAAGAGGTAGAAGCAGAAGAATTGGGAGTTCAAGGCCATCCTCAGTCACATAGAGAGTTTGAGGCCTGCCTCAGTTACAAGAGCCCCTATATAAAAGAGAAAAAAGTACCTAGGAGGTAGGTGCTGCCATCTCCACTTTACAAATAAGGAAATGGAGGCTCCAAATTCAAGCAATCGGCCCAAGATCATACAACCAGGAAGGGAAGTGTGGAGCTAGAGTCAGACCTTTGTCACTGATTCTAATACCTGGACTCTCTGCATGGGCACCTTCTGAGAACCATCCTACTCCATGATTCCTCTGGGCAGTGTTGGGGTCTTCTACCTTGTGTCCTACACAGTTCTATCCATCTTGCCTCCTCTACAGACTCAGAATTCTCTCATAGTAAGAGTTATGTCTCTTACATGCTTAGTGCAAGTATTTGAGAAATGACTGTTGCTGAACCAGAAAAGTCTCTTCTAAGAGACTTCCAAAAGCCTGGTGCCCTATGGGAAGTCAGTGGTCACCAGGGGCTCAGTAAACACTTGTTGAATGAGTAAATGTGGTGTTGACATATTTGATCTCTCAACCCAAGTGGAAGACCAAGATCAGGAGGGTGCTTCCATTCTCCTCTCAGAGTCTAGCACAGCTCTGGGCACATGAAGCTCATATTCTGGAAAGTTGCTTGTGCCATGTAGAGGTGGCACATTTATATGCCAATCTGGTGCTGCAACATCTTAGGAAGTACAGGACAGGGGCTTCCTGAGATATATTAGGCCAAGGGAACACTTTGTTTTTTTACAGGTATATTCCTGTACCCTGGAAATCAGCCTGGAGGTCTGAAACAAACAGGCTCAATATTCATAGGCTTGAGCTCTATCTCTCACTGGCTATATGACCTTATTCAAGTCCCTTGATCTCCTCAAGCCTCAGGATCTTGGGCAAATTCCTCTTTTACACATGTGCTAACAACTATCTAACAGCCCTACTGGGGGTTAGGTAAGAGCACGTAGGTGGAAGTATCTGGTATCTCATTCTCTTTCCCAGCCTTCTACATGTATTTACTAGCCTTCTGAGTCCTGTTTCTGACTCTACCATGCCTTCATGGGCCAGGCTTGATCCAGAGATGGGAATGAAGGAGAGGAATAACTCCAGAAACACAAACCCATCAGCCTCCAGAGGTCTGGGCTTTCCCTTAGCTCCATGAGTGTATGAATGAACAAATGAATGAGTAAGAAAAGGAAGGATCCTCTGAAGCATTCAGTGAGTCTTATGGGATGAGAGCTGCAGGGCCCAGAGGGAGACCAGCACCCAGTGCTCAGGGTCCCAGTAGCACCTCACACCTTGGGTTCCTGCTCACCTTGGGCAAACGGTATTTGTCTCGGAAGTGACTCCGAAATGTGGCCCGTTCTGCCTTCCTCTGTGTGAACTGCGCATCCCGCTCCATCCTGCAGGGAAAAAAGACACAGGGGCAGAGGATGGAGTGATCTTGGGAGCTGAGGGAAGGGGTGGGGTCTGTTAGGGAGGAGCCAAAGTGATCTCAAATTCCTGGGAGCAGGCTACATGGGTTTCCCATCCCCCAACTGGGCTGAGAATAGCTATCGAGTTGGGACTGACAGGTTTAGATTTTGCCCCTCAACCAACCACAGTGCCCTCTTTGTTCTCTGCTCTCACCAATGGATAGTGCTAACTAGGGGGAAGTGTCTGTCTGAATCTGCCTGAAGATTCTAATATATGTATCTTGCAATCACTGACTCAGATCTGCCTTTCCCTGTCTTACAAGCTGTGTAGCAGGGAGGAGAGTATTCAGGATAGACTTGGTTTGGCTCATGGCTCACTACCACTTTCAGTCTGTCTTTTAGGTAAGGTTTACTTTCTTCTTTCATAAAGTGAGGGTGAGACTTTGCAATTCACAAAACTCTCAGGATTAAATAAAATTACAATAGCTGACATTTCATGAAGATTGCCATGTGCCAGGTGCTGAGCTAAATGGTTAACACGCATTAAGTCTTCAACCTTCATAACTCTATGCAGCATGCATCATGATCACCACTTCCATTTTCCAGAAGAGGAGAAAGGAAGCACAGAAAGGTTAAGTAACTTGCCTAAAGTTACCCAGCTAGTAAGCAAAGTGAGGGTCTGAACGCAAGCAACCTCACCCCAAAGTTCAAACCCTAAGTAGACTGTCTCTACTCTGTCCCAGAACTGCAGCTCAATATGGATGAGTACCCCCATTTCAGTCCTGTTTCCAGGACTTGAAGCCTCTCTCCACTGTAGGGCTTTTCTCAGAGCCTCAGGCTCACAGGAGCCCAATTTGGAAGACAGGAGGCTTGGATCAGATCGGATTAAGGAATTACCTATTTCATCAGAGATGCACGTGCACCCCCCACCCTCCTCCCAGGCACACATCACCCTTCCCCCAACTCTCTCAGGGTCAGAGTATGAAGCTAGAGCAGGGTCCTGGGTTTGAGATAAGGTGGCTATGGGAGCAGCCTAGAGGGCACCCCCACTCTGTTTCCATGTTTAGGAGGTGTGGGGAGGCTCTAGGACAGGGGTGGGTGCAGCGGCTATGTGTGCATGTGTGTGTGGGGTCACTGGAGCCAAGAAAAGATCACACTCACTTCTCTTCCACCAGTTGCTTTTGATACTCCTCACACTCCTCTCGACTCATGCCCTGTGCTTCCGCTGCAGACTTGTCCCCGTCCCCTTTGTCTTCGCCGCCCCCCAGGCTCCCAGTGAGGTTCTTCAGCTGGCCGCCCACCATGGACTTCACCGTGAACGCCATGGTCTTCTCTGGTGTCAGCACCAGGCACCTGACACGTCGGCGCCTAGTTCAGCACTAAGTCCGGGGACAGCTCCTGCCTGCCGCTAGCTCGCGCCCCACGCTTTGCGAGCCGCCCGCTCCACCTTCCCAAACCCCTCCTCACTCGGGGTGGTGGTTGGGGGACATGCACGGGGCTGAGGAGCCTGGACCACGTGCCTGCTCCTCACTCCCGCCTCTCCCACGTGCCTCCTTTAGCTCCAGCCAAGCTCCGCTGGCCACTGCTGACAGCCGATTAGCGCTTACGGTGGTGGGGTCGCTCCCCTGGGAGAACAGACTGCACTGATATGTACCTTCATCCTTACTTCCTACCCTCCAACTTTCTCTATTCCTGAGTCACCGATAACCAGAACTTCAGCTGGGAGATCAGGTAGCAGCAAGGGCCAAACACCCCCAGCCTTGGACCTTAGTCATCCTCGTTCCACCCCACCCCAACCTGCTGACTGGAAGCTGGGAAGGGGGAGACCTCAAGAGTATGAGCAGGAACCCCAGTTATGGTTTGGTAAGTTTGCACTCAGCTCCTCTGTCAGGTGTCTGCCCTGCTATCCCTGAAGCCTCAGGGAGTGTATGTTGGGAGGTGGTGGGGGGAGGGCTTGGGGATACAGGCAGGACAGAAGGAGCCCAGAGAGACACCTGTCCTTGCTTTGGCTGAGTTGGGGATACAATTTTGCACAGTTGTCTCTCCTTCGGTAGTTCAGACGGAAGGGTTTTGTGTGTGTGTTGTGGTGTGGCTGGTCCTTTGGCAGTTAAGCAAGGTCTTGGCCTCCTTTCTGCTTGGATCTCACTCCTGGTATCTACTCAGAGAAGGCAGAAGTCATCAGAGGCTGAAAGGTAAATGAGTATATCATAAGCTTGGTGAGAAAGATCTCTTTTAATACAGTGAGCCCACCAAAAGCTAAGGTGTGGGCAGTCGCTGGGCACTCACAGGGAGGATACTGGCCAAGCCCTCTACCCCTCATTTGACTTCCAGTGAGACATAGCTTTGTTTTGGTTCAAGCTTGCAGGCTGGGGGAGACAGTCTGCCTCCTTAGAGCCCCCAGTGTCCTAGGGATATGTGGTGCAGGCCCCAGAGGAAAGCTTCCTGTGGACAGGTACTCCGGAAGTCTCTTGTCCAGCTCCTGTCTGCTGCCAGAGAGAGAAGGTTATTTGAATCTCTTCCTCTGTCCATTTAAATTCAAGATTTACACTTGCCTTCCAGTACACAGTGTACCACTGACTCCCTTCCTCTGGGATCTTCTATGGCTCCCTTAACATGCCACATAAAGTTCATATTTCCCCCCTGGCATTTGAGGTGTGCCTGGGAGGCTTAGCGTCAACATTGCAGTCCTATGCACACATTTCCTCCTTGTCCCCCCACTTCTCACCTTTTTTAGTTTTTTAAAAATATTTTATTTATTATTTTTATTTTTATGTGTATGAGGATATTGTTTGCATGTATGTAAGTACACCTATGTCATGCAATGCCAGAGGAGGTCAGAAGAGGGTGTCAGATCCCCTGGAACTGAACTGGAGTTACAGACAATTGTTAGCTGTCATGTGAGTGCTGAGAACTGAATCCAGGTCCTCTGCAAGAGCAGCTGGGGCTCTTAACCACTGAACCATCTCTCCAGTCCCCACCCCTCCTTTTTTTTTTGCCCCAGCTGGCCTGGAACTCACTATGCAGACCAGGCTGGTCTCTATCTCACAGAGATTCCCCTGCCTCTGCTACTTGTGTACTCGTATTAAAGATGTGTGCCATCATGCCCAGCTCCGCCATTTGGGGAGGGAGGGAATAAAGTTTCACTATGTAGCACAGGCTGTACTAGAACTAAGGCACCTTCTTAGTTCTCAGCCTTCCAAGTGCTGGGATTAGAGGAACACCTTTCTAATCCAGAACACCTAGCTTCTTTGACCAATTTAGTAAATGGATCCTGCCCTTTACTTCAACATTACTTATCTGCTGCCTCTTTCTTCCTTCAAAATATTTTTCGTCTTGCCTCCATGCCTTCTCTGATGCTTTTCCCTCTGCAGTAGTGCCTTTACCCATCTTTCAGACTGGAAAACTACTCACTTTGATAATCCAAATCAAATATCCTTTCCAGATCAATTGCCTGATGCTCTACAAAGTTGGATCAGTTGCTTTTCCCCATGCTCCTGTAAATCCCCAAGCTTTCCTCCAGCATAGCACTGGCTACATAAGCTTTGACTACTAGTTGTAGATTCTCACTCTAGAGCAAGTTCTGTGGGCAGGGCCAGATGGGCTTGGACTTTCTTGGGTGGTCTACACTTGACGAATGGTCTGTCCTAATCTGTGCTTTGCTCCTAGCGCTCTGGTGGACTGGGTAGCTCCCCCTCTGAGCCTCAGGATCCCCTCTCAAGTTGGCCAGAAGTGAGCAATGTAGATGGTTATATATGGGAAGTCCTGCCTATGGGAAGGCCCACCTGAAGTTCAGGTAGCAGAAGAAGCCTATAGTCTGAATGAGGAGGAAGAACAGGAAGATGCCAGTCTGCAGACATGCAGAGGTTCCTGGGTGATAGCCAGGTGGATGGTCGGCCTTGGCTGCAGTTTTCTGCAAGGGGAAAGTATGAGGTCCTGCCTCAGCTTCTATCCTGGGAGGAGGGAGGGGACCTGGAATCTGTGTCATGCATAGTCCCTGTTTATCTCCTATGTGCTTGGGCCATCCTGGCTGTCATCTAGAAAATGTAGAAAAAGAGCAGTGCAAAAAGCTGCCCTCCCACCCCGTGTACCCATGGCTCCAACTGTGGGAACAGCTGGAAAAACATGATCATGGGACCATGAGCAGGCCAAAGGGGAGAGAGAGAGGAGAGAGAGAGAGAGAGAGAGAGAGAGAGAGAGAGAGAGAGAGAGAGAAAGAGAAAGAGAGAACAGGGGCCCAGAAAAAAATCAGTTCTACTACTGAATCTGGATGATCCTGGGCCCATCCCATCCCACATCCCTTCTGGAGGGAGTTCAACCAGAGTGTCTCCAGGTGGTGCTGAGTCTGTGGGACTTTCCACAGCATAAGGAAATGGAGAGAAGACGAGATCTCTGTTCCTGTATACAACATGTAGGCACACAAAGACACCAATGTGCCTACTGGGGTCCTGGGCAGAGGCACCAGAGACTGCAGAAATGTTGAGAGGAAGGTGGCAGAGACCAGACCTCAGAGATGGGCCCCTTGTATTACCCACTGCTCCTTCCTCACCACCAGATCCCGAAGGTCCTTCTGCAGAAGGCTGAGTATCTGGTCCAGCTCGAAGAAGTGATGCTGGGTGCCCACAGGCAGGTAGAAGACTCGGGCTCCTGAAGTCATGTGGGCAGCTGCATCCCTTATGTCGTGGGGAGTAGAAATCAAGGGAGGAGATCCATTATCTCCTTTGGTTGTACCCAAATCACCTAATCATTTCCCATAATTCCCAGGAGCAGCACATTACAGTAGAGAACAGATACCATCCATAGAGTGCTTTCTTGAGGACTGGTATTTTCTTTTCTTTTTTTTAGACAGGATCTTCCTGTAGCCCCAGCTGGAATGGAATTCACTATGTAGACCAGACTGGACTTTATCTCACAGAGATCTACCTGCCTCTGTATCCTGAGTGATGGGACCAAAGGCTTACACACAATGTCCAGCCCGGGGCTGATCTTTTTACCCTAAAACTTCTCCCTAGATCCTGAGACAACTTTAGTTTGTACAAGGAACTCCTTAAAACTGTCCATCTGTACCTTTTCTCTGTAGCCCAGAGAAATCAGCTCCTCTCATCTTGCCTTCTCCCACCCCAGGGCTTTATAGGGAGCGCTACAGGTGTGAGTGCTCCAGAGTGGGGTTCTGGGAGGCCAGAGGCAAAATGAGCCCAGGAACTGCTTCCTCCAACTGGCCTGATCTTGGCTATGCTTCCTCTAAGAACTTCCATCAAAATGTTTGCTCTATGGGGCTGAGGAACTGGTTCAGCGGGTAAGAGTGCTTGCTCTAGGATCACGAGGACCCAAGTTCAAATCCCTAGTACCCAGGCAAAAAGCAGGGCATGGCTGTGTGTGCCTGTAGTCCCATCACTGGGGGCAGAGATAGGCAAGGCAGATCCTGAGAGCCCAATGACTAGCAAGCCTAGCCAAGAACAGTGCATTTCTGGTTCAGTAAGAGACTGTCTCAAGGCAATAAGGTGGAGAGGGATAAAGGAAGACATTGATGTCCTACTCCAGCCTTCACATGCACACACGGGCACATACACCTGCACATTCATGTACATATACCCCCATACATTATACACAAAATACAAACAAAACAACACATACATAATTTTGTTTAAAAAATAAAAACAGTAGCAATTTTAATGCCACCTGTAGTCCTTTGCATTGTTGAGCTGGGTGCTGGGTGCTCAGGAAATGGTGAAAAGAATGACTCTTACCAGGCATGGTGGCACACACCTTTGATCCCAGCACTCAGACAGAAGCAGGTGGACTTCGGTGAGAGCAAGGCCAGCCTGGTCTACATAGCGAGTTCCGGGCCAGCAGGGGCTACAGGGAGACCCTGTCTCAAAAAACAAATAAATAAAAAAGGAAAGAGAAGAAAAAAGGAAGGAAGGGAAGAAGGAAGGAAGGAAGAAAGGAAGGAAGGAAGGAAGGAAGGAAGGAAGGAAGGAAGGAAGGAAGGAAAGCTGGCTCAAAGAGGAGTTTCAAGCAGAGGAAAGATTGGCGGAGGGGCTTTTCTTCCCTCCTTTAGCCCTCTTCACCGTGTCCCTTACCTCATCTTCTGCAGGGCCTGGAGCAGAGTCCGCTGTCCATAGATCAGGGTGCTGACCTTGACAGGATCCTACAGGAGGGTCAGCTCTTGTCTAGGGTTCAGGATACTGATATCCCATCTCCTTAGAGCCCACCTTCTCCTGGGATACTTCATCCTTTACACAGAGGACTTATCAGATGGTCATGGCTCTCATCTCCTGGCACTTGTTCATCTGGGCTTCTGGAGTACCCTCCTTCCATGCCTAAGGTGTGCTGTTTCTCCCAACAGGGACCTTCTGGGCTTTCCCAAAATCCTTCTCCTTTTAAAAAATGGCCCTACCCCTTTGGGGAGGCAGAGGCCTGGCCCAGTTCTCTCTGAGTCTTTTCCCTAGGCCATGATCCAAACTGAGCAGTAGCACTGGTTAACATCCAGTGCATGAGTCCAAGTCCTGCAGAGGGAGCTGACCCTCTTAAGGGTGAGTGGAATCAGGCAGGAGGGGCCCAGGGCCTAGCCCCTTCCCCATCCCACTCCACCAGCCCAGCCTAGGCTGCTATAGCCTGAGGACAAAAAACCCTGGGGAGCTGGAGAGATGTCTCAGGGTTTAAGAACACTTGTTCTTGTAGGAGACCCGGGTTTGAATCCCAGCACCCACATGGCAGCTAACAACTGTCTATAACTCCAGTCCCAAGGGATCCAACAGCCTCTTCTGACCTCTGAGGGCATTGCATGACAGGGGTGCACTTACCTACATGCAGGCAATACACACACATAAAATAATAAATAAATTTTTTTTTAAATTAAAAAAAAAGATCAAAACCCTGAGTTGGCAGAGCCCAGCAAAGGCTGCATGAGTGGCTGACCCATCTGCTTACTAGCCAGTGCCCTGGCTGAGTTTAGCTCTCAGTCCCCAAGACTGGGCGTGATGCCTTGTGGGAGGAGCCAGGATGGCAACAGAACTGAAATGAGGATTCTGGATCAAACTGTATGCAAATCACATGTGAAGCCACATGCAAATTATCCCCTAGTCTATTTCTGCCATTTGTCTATAGACCAGATTCCAAATACCTGGCATCTCCTTTCCAACCCAGCCTTGTGGTTCTGGTGGTAATTGTTTGTGTGGTGATGCCCTGTTCCATCCTGTGACCAGCTCTCTTCCCTGCAAGCTTAGGGGAGCCTAGCTCTGGACTATGGCCCTATTCTGCTTTTAAGCGCACAGGAGGAACCTTGGGTGCCCCAGGGGCCACTCACCCAACTTCCCTCAGGTCTGGCCTGGCCTATGGATCCCAGTTGCTGCTGCCACTGCCTCTCAGCCTGGTCCAACTGCCTGGAGAGAGTCTGGAGGGCCTGCAGGATCTGGTTTTGTCTACCCAGTGTATCTTCCAGGTCAAAGAGCCTTTCCCCTGGGGATTGGAGCAGAGCCAAGATGGGTAGCCAGTTGGGGTGGAGCAATAAATCCTGTCTTGGAGTGGAGCATTAGAAGATGTGGATTCTGCCTCCAAGACCCTCCTCTGGAAAATGTGTCTGGGTGCTGGCAAGAACGCTCAGCAAGGAAAACTGCTTGCTGCACAAACCTGACAAGGTAAGTTTGATCACCAGAACCCACGTAAAGGTGGAAGGAGAGAATAGATTCCATAAAGATGTCTCCTGACTCCACACATGTACTGTGGCATGCATGTGTGTGCTCTAGTGCACATTTATACATGTATGCATGCACACATGCACACATACATGCACACACAAAGTAAATTAAAAAGAAAAAAAGAAAATGTGTCTGGGTGGGAGCTAGAGAAATGGCTCAGTGGCTAAGAGTACTGACTGCTCTTGCAGAAGACCTGGGTTTAATTCCCACCATCCACAGGGCAACTAACAACCATTCCTAACTCCAGCTCCAGGGGATCCAGCACCCTCTTCTGGACTTCACAGGTGCAGCATGACACAGGTGCACTTACATTCATGCAGGCAAGACACATATACATAAAATAAATATAAAGAAACATTAAAAAAAAACATGTCTGGGTGGTCATCTGGGGATAGGACAGAAAACCCAGCCCAGGTTCTGCTTAGCTCTGACCTTCCCAGATCTCCTCCTCACTGGCTAATAGACTTCTGGTACAGAGAGTCCTGTGGCACTCCAATATGCCCAGCCCCACCTGCTTGCTCCCTGGGTCACTACCTTCCTCCTGGCTTTTGGGGTTTGGCTGTGGAATGCTATCCTCCTGGCTTCTCAGAGCCAGCCTTGCCCGCAGCCCTTCCAGCTGTCTGGCCAGGTGGAGCTGCTCCATCTCCAGGAAGGGTTGGTGGGTAGCCTAGAAGAGGAAGATAAGAGGTCAAGCCCAAATGCATAGGAGGTCCGGGGGAAGGGTAGCCTTCCATCAGGGCCTCTGAGATCCCGGTCTCCTTTTCTAAGCACAAACTCACCCTGACCCAGGAGGAACCCACAGCTCAGCCATGGACATTGCAGCTTGCAACCATCTGAGCCCTGTCTCTATCACCCATCCCCTACATCCTCTCTACTAGTTGTGACCCCAAGCCTCTAGACCTGCTGCTCCTTCAAGCTCATTTCCTCTTGTCAGCATTCCCTGACTCCCTCCTTGTTGGTTTAGGAGCCCCCTGCCCCCTTGGTTCCTACTGCCCCTGGGGGCCATTTTTGTTTTTTGAGACAGGGTCTCAGTATGCAGTCCTGATTGTCCTGGAACTCACTGTATAGACCAGGCTGGCCACACACTCCTAAGTGCTGGGGTTAAAGGCATGTACCACCACACCTGGCCCCCTGGGCCTTTTGATAACCAGCATGGATCACTCTCAGGTTATGTAGCAGCCTGGGAGATCTAGGGGACAAAGGTTGGCCTCTACACTGCCCAGCCCAGAGCCTGACTTGAGCAGAACTCAGAGAGCAAGTTGGGATGGCAGGTCTGAGGATGTGCTGATGTGAGTGGAGACATCTGAGGAGCGCAGAGTTCCTGGGCTGCCTCTCCCAGTTGGTAAGGGCTGGCATCACCTCTGGACCTGGTTCATTCAAACTGAAGGTCAGGAAGGACAGAACATCATGGTCATCTGGAAGAGGGACAGATGAAGGAGAGATAAGGCGCCTTCCACTCAGCAGCCTATCCATCCAGACTCTACTATATGCCAGGGATGCAAGAGGCTTGGATGACTCTGGGCAACTCTGACCTTTGTCTCACTGCATAGAATAGATATGAAAGTCAGATACACAAATGTGTGGACTGTGAGGTTTGAACCATGTAGGACCAGAGGGGGTTGCCCAATACTGAGAAACAACTATCACTAAACATTCTGGGCTAGAGCCATGCAGCAAACCACGTGACATCCTCAGAGCCACAGGAGATAGCTGCTACCTACAGGAACAAGCATGCAGAGGCTGCTTCCTCAGCATGATTCTGACCCTATACTTAGCTTCTCTCTGAAACCTCCAATGGCTCCCCAGTGCCCAGAGTCTAAAGACTAAAGTCTTGGCAGTCAAAGACTCCCACATTCTTCCAACTGCAGGATCCTCCATGGACCCTGCACTGCAGCACATCCCTCTGTTCAGTTCCCTAAATTATCTTGGTTGTCCCCCTTTTACCTGGCCTGTGGCAGCCAGTACAGCACATTTATGAAAATTGATACTGTAATAAAAAGTTTTTTTATGTGTAAAAGGTTTGAGACCTTTTTTGCTTCGAGAAAGGATCTCATGTAGCCCAGGCTTGTCTCAAACTTGCTATATAGCAGAGGATGGCCTTGAACTTCCGGTCCTCCTGCCTCTACCTCCTGAGTGCTGGGATTACAGGCTAACATGACCACACCTGGAAACAGCTCTAGGGATCCAACCCAGGATTTTCTGCCTCTTGGGCAAGCACTCTACCAGTGGAGCTACATCCCCAGCCTCTCATTTGAGACTTCCAACAGCCCCACAAAGCCAAAGTTGATGTGACCTCCTGAGGGAGAAGCCCAGAGAGGGAGTATGACTATCCCTGGCCAAGTGAAGAAGTGGTCAACCCCACACCTGAGCTCTTTAGAAGCTGCAATAAGTTTTCATCATCATCAAACACTGCCCTCTGCTCTTACCTGTCCTGTGAGATCCTTACCGGCTAAGATGCTGGTAACTGCAGAGACTCCAAAGAAGCCTCCAGGGGCCAAAAGCAGGGGCCCCACATCAACACAGACCTCATCGGGGTCTCTGGGTGTAAGGCCTCCACTCAAGGACACCTGAGGGACATGGAAAGAGTGAGCTCCTGACTCTCACTGGCTCCAGCAGAGGGGACTGTCCCTTACTCTGACTTATTGACTCCCCAGTTCTGAGGGAAGGACTTGGGATCAAAATGGCATGCACGCTGGTCTTACATGTATGTGTTAGGATTCTGTGTGTGAATGGAAGACTACATGTGTTGACTGGATGTACCAGGGACCCCACATGGATGTGAGGACTAGTGTGTGAGTGATGCACAGTGTCATAGGCATGGGACTATTGGAGCCCTGGGAACCCATACACAGAAACTCCACATCCCCACCAGAGTCCCTGCAAAAGCAGCAAGAGTGACTCACACGTAGCCTCTGACCCCAGTAGGTGATCCGTGCTCGGAAGGGGTATGGCCGGTTCCGGAAGTCCCGGTGACAGGAACCCAGCACCTGGCTGGCTCTATCCCTGTGGACACTTGGAATGCAACAAAGCCCAGCTAACAAGAACAGTCCCAGAAGCAACTCTATCCAGGCCTGTGGAACCACTGTCTCCACTGGGTGACCTTGCCTGTGACAAGTTTCTGTGGTCTATCTTGATGATCCCTTGCTATAGTTTGCCTCATTGGCAGGAGGAAGAATAGGAAATTAAGTTCTGCCTGGCAATGTAATCAGGGTCTTCTGCAGAGGGACAGAGGTCTAGACTAGCCATGGGTTTTCTGACCTGTCTCCCAATACACTGCCTCATCCACTCTCCATCCCTTCTTTCTTCCTTCCCTCTCTTCTTAAACTCCAAGTTCCCTCTTGTCTCTGGGGAGGCCTTTCTGCACCTGCCAAGGTTGGAAATGTGCAAGACAGATACCATGGGACCTGTCCTAAAGGCTAAGGACAATACAGCCAGCCCAGCTCCCCTCAGGGAGGCTCAGCAGGCCCAGGGAGTTGGGAGCAGAGGGTTAAGCCCGAGTTTCTCTGGCCCATGGGCACATGGCACAGCACCTGCCACTACGACCATCAGCTAAGAGTTAGGCAGCACAGAGTAGTGAGAAACAGAGGCAGTGACTGTCTGACCTTGGGCAAGTTTCCTCACCCTCCCAAACCTCAGTGTTGCTGCCTTTAAAACGAAGACAGTAATTGTGACTACCTCATAACAGTTATGAGGGTTCACAAGACAATGGATATCAAGTGCCTGGGCGCTGTGCCAGGTGTACAGTAAGCCCAACTCCATAAATGTCAGCAATTATCCTAATTGTAATGGACTGAGGGATGTTTGCTGAGACACACTGACAAACCGGTCCAGCTGCTGAAAGGCAGCTAGCAGGGGCAGCCAGGAGACCACAATATCCGGGAGAAAAGGACAACAGTGCGGCTGGTGTCTAGGAAAGTGTAGACCTTTCGTGGGTCATTTCGCCTCTGGGCCTCAGTGTCCTCATCTAACAATCCACTCTTGTCAAGGGTGTCTGGAGTGAGACCCTCAGTTCCAGCCTGTGTCACTTCACCTGGGAGCCTGTTGGGCTTAATGACTCAAGAAAGATGGACTGTTACCCAGAAGAGCAAGCACATTCACCATGGATTCCTAAGGCACAGCTCAGGCTCATGGGAAGAATCCCAGGAAGCAGCAGGGGCTCAGAGTCAGAGGCCAGCAAGGGTGGCAGGTATGGGAGGGATTTTGGAGCAGCAGATGGGGGAAAGAAGCACAGGTGATTCTGCTGAGCCCTCCAACCCAGGATCAGGAGTGGGCTCAGTCCCCTCAGGTCCTTACCCAAACTGTTCCTGGGAGCTGTGCCTGTCACTGACCAGCACACGTATGGCAGGGCTATTCTGCATGGGAGGTGACAATCTGTCTGAGCCTTGGGTACAGGGAGGAGGGTGAGGGCTAGGGTTAAGACAGGCAGGAGGATGGGCAGGAGATGGCTACCTACCTGGGCATCCTGGGCTGAGGAGTCAAAGATGATCCCAATGCCATCCCATGAGACCAGCTTCTCCAGAACGGAGCTGACTAAGCCCCTGTCCCGGGTGTACCACATGGCCTGCAAGTTCCCAGGCCTTCAAGTCAGGGGTCTCTGCAGGACACTGGTACCTGGGGTCTATCACACACTTCTCAGACAGACATGAGTGGGGCCACTCACCATGCCCTGGGCTCCCCGGCGCCCTGGCCCAGTCACCTTCATCTGCATCTCCACCTCCCAGGCAGGGAAGGGGACAGGCACTCTGCTCCACACAGCACCGCTCCGATTCTTCATGGATGGAACCAGCCGCACTTCCTCTAGGCCTGGGATGGCATCTGTGGAGGCGGGCAGCTCAGGGCCCACTGGACCATCATCTCCCACCTCTATCTCATTGGCTTAAGATGGGTCTCTGGTACGAGATCTTGCCATTTAATATCAGGCTGGCTGGTGAGACACAGAAGTCCACTGGAGAAAAGGAACCAGCACCCAGCAGGTGGGTGTTGCTCAGGAAAGGTGAGGAGAGCCAGCACTGTGTTCTGACTTCACCCTCACTACAAATCTGAGTCATCTATTTTTATAAGATCTCATTTTATGTTGCTGGTTGTAGCTCAGTTGATAGAGTGCTTGCCTAGTATGCACAAAGCTCTGGGTTCAATCCATAGCACCCCACAAGACTGGATATGGTGGCACACACCTATAATCCCAGCACTCAGTAGACAGAGTAATCAGTAATTCAAGGTCATCCTTGGCTATATAGCAAGTTTGAGGCCAGCCTTGGCTACATGGAACTCTGTCTTGAGGCTGGGAAATGGCTCAGTTTCCTGTGTAAATATGAGGCTCTGAGTTCAGAGGCCTAGAACCCATGTAAAAGCCAGGCATGGCAGTATACATTTGACCTATATCCTTGGTGCTGGGGAACAGAGACAAGTGGATCCTGGGAGCTTGCTGGCCAGCCAAGTCTAGCTGAAATAGTGAGCTCCAGGTTCAGTGAGAGACCCTGTCTCAAAAAAGAAAAGGTAGAGAAGTAATTGAGGAAGAAATCTTGATGTCAACCTCTGGTCTACACACAGGTATCAGCAAGTACATATACATATACATATATACACATATACACATACACACAAATAATAATAATAATAATGAGACCCTGTCTCCAAAAAAGGAGATCCCATTTTGCAGATGAGGAAACGCTAAGGAATGAAGTGGACTGGAATTCAGCTGAGTGCAAAGTATAAGCACAGGAAACTGCACTAGAACAGACATTTTGTGCATTTTGTCGGGGGGCGGGGGGAGCGTGTCAAGACTACAGACTGGGAGGCTCCTGGGGGCGGGGACCTGGAGTGGTCCAAGGTGTGGAAGGCTTGAGGCAGATCCTGGCCTGTGGGGTGGTGGGGAAAGGGTGCAGGGTGAAAGAGCATTAGAATTACCCTGGTGTTAGTGAGCAGGGCAGGAGCTCTATGTGATGGGTAGAGGAAGAGAGAGTGAAACAGACAGACGTGGCAGGAAGTGGAGGGAGGGAGGGAGGCAGAGGCCCCATTCTACTCTCTGGTCTGCCAGCTTGGAACCTGGTCCAGGGCCCAGACCCTGCCGGGATTTTCCAGAGGCTCCTGATCCAGCCTGTTTGCTCTGAAAACAGTGGGGAAGCACCAGAAGCTGGAGTGCCTGGAAGCCACTATTGCCTGGTGGCTTTTTTTTTCTTTTTCAGGCAGAGTCTCAGGTAACCCAGGCTTGCTTTCAATTCTCTAGATAGCCAAAGATGAGATCTTGAACCCTGGTCTTCCCACCTCTACCTCCAGAGTGCTGGGATAAGAGGTGTGTATCACTATCTGGTTCTAGGTGGAACTGGGAAGCAGCCACGGCCTGGTGCATGCTAGTCAAGCACTCTGTGAACTAAGCTACACTGCCAGTCCAACATTTTTTTTTTTGTTTTTACCCTTTAAAATTTTTCAAAATCAGGGCTGGAGAGATGGCTCAGTGGTTAAGAGCACTGGCTGCATTTGCAGAGGACCTGGGTTTGATTCCCAGGACCCACATGGCAGCTAACAATCGTCTGTAACTCCAGTTCCAGGGGATCCAATGCTCTCTTATGACCTCCATGGACACTGCACAACACAGGTGTACCTATCTACATGCAAGTAATACACTCATATACATAAAATAAAAATAATAAATAAAATATTTTTAAAAACTTTTGCCGGGCGTTGTGGTGCATGCCTGTAGTCCCAGCACTTGGGAGGCAGGGCAGGCGGATCTCTGGAGTTCAAGGCCAGCCTGGTCTACATAGTGAGTTTCAGGACAGCTGGGGTTACAGGGAGACCCTGCTTCAAAAAGACAAAAAAAAAAAAATAACCTTTTGTCAGGGGCTGGAGAGATGGCTCAGCAGTTAAGAACGCTGGTTGTTCTTGCAGAAGACCTGGGTTCGAATCCCAGAACCCACATGGCAGCTAACAACTGTCCATAACTCCAGTTCCAGGGGATTCAACAGCCTCTTCTGTCCTCTGTGGGCATTGCACGACATGGGTGCACTTACCTACATGCAGGCAACACACACATACACATAAAATTAAAAAAATAATAAAATACTAAAAAAAAAAACAAAAACCTTTTTTCAGCCAGGTGTGGTGGCACATGCCTTTAGTTCCAGCACTTGGGGCAGAGGCAGAGATCGAGGTCAGCTTGGTCTACATAGTGAGTTCCAAGCCAGCTGGGGCTACAGGGAGACCCTGTTTCAAAAAGAAAAAAAAATTTTTTTTTCAAAATTATGTTGTGCGTGTGTATGCAGGAGCACACACATGGAGGTCAGAGGACAACTTTCAGTAGTTGGTTCTCTCCTTCCACTGAGGGTTCCAGGAATTGAACTCAGGTCATCAGGTTTGCACAGCAAGTACTTTAACCCACTGAACCATCTTACTAGCGCTTTTTTTCTTTTTCTTTCTTTCTTTTTCTTTTTTTTGTCTTTCTGAGACAGGGTCTCCTCGTAGCCCCAGCTGTCCTGGAACTCACTATGTAGACCCGGCTGGCCTCGAACTCCCAAAGATCCGTCTGCCTCTGCCTCCCAAGTGCTGGGATTAAAGGCGTGCGCCACCACGCCCGGCACTAGCTCTTCTTTTTAATTTAATTAAATTAATTTATTTTAAAAGTTTTTATTTATTTATTTTTAAATATTTTATTATTTTTATTTTATGTGTATGAGTGTATTGCCTGCATGTGTGTAAGTGCGCCCATGTCATGCAGTCCTGAGGAGGTCAGAAGGCGTAGGATCCCCTGGAACTAGAGTGAGGGATGGTTGTTAGCCGCCTCGTGGATGCTGGGACTCAAACCCGGGTCCTCTGCTAGAGCAGCCAGTGCTCTTGACCACTGCTGAGCCATCTCTCTAGCCCCTAATTTTATTTTTCTAAAGACAGGGTCTTGTTATGTAGTTCATACCACCACATCTAGCCCTAAGAGACTCGCAGGAGGCAAGGCTTGTCTGGCTACTGCACTTACACAATCAGCTTTATGTAGAGTGTCTGGAACCTCACCCCTGACTGGAAGCCTGACTCAGTCCTGGGTAACTGGGCTGGGCAAAGGGGAACACTGGGTGGGGCTCTGATAGAAGCAGAGATGAATGGGTAGACAGTAAGCATATCATCTGATGATCTTGGAGGATGAATCTCTGCCGTCCCACATGCTCTGTGACATGTCAGATGTGGCAAAGGTCCCAACAGTGAGTGCTGTGCCCTGAGGCAACACCTGACTGTGAGACAACCCACTCCTATGTCCCCCCTCTCCCCCTGTGGAGGACTGGAATGAAGTCTTGCTGAAAGGGTCTATCGTCTAAGATCGCCTAGGTCAGGAACCACGTCATTTCTTATCACACATAGAAATACATAGTGTATCTACTTTTTCCCATTGCTTGAACTAATTCATGGCTGGGCAAACCTCACAACATAGGAGGCTCTGAACTAATTCATGGCTGAGCAAACCTCACAACATATTTAGAAAATAAGCCATGTTCCTGGAGTCACTTTATGCCCCACTAACTTTGTCAGTCTCTTATTTCTAATTTAAGCTACTTCGTATTGTACAATTCCCAGTAAGTCATCACAGACCCTTTTGTGAACAAGATCCTATAAACCATAGGTCTGGCTTTGGAAGACCCTGAGCACAGATCAGTGAGCTAATACCTTTCACATCTGCTTCCTCCTCCAATACACAGACAGGCAGGTCTTGGTGCTGCTCTGGCAAAATAGCTGGACATGACAGTGCCCCCCTTCCTGAAGATCCCAAGTCCCACAGGCTGGAGCCAGCAGAAGCAGCTCATGCCTGTCCCAGGTGCCTTGTTTCTGTGCATCTGAGGCACACGGGGCACATATATGAGGATGCATGCATGCATGTGTGTGTGTACCTGTGTTTGCAGGTCCAGGAGGGTGAAATGCAAATAGAAGCATGGAAGGAGCTAAGTCCTGAGGCAGCAAACAAGAGGCAGAGGAGGAACAGGCTGCTGGGTAGGGTGGAATTGTGACTGGTGGAGCAGGAGATAGGCCTGGGAAGGGTCTATGTAGGGAAGGATGAGGCTGGGGCAGCACTGCTAGGCCCAAGACCCTCCCAGCACTCTGAAAGACCCTGGGCCTGGCCAGCCCCACCTCTGCCCCTCACCTCCATGATGGCTCCAGAAGGGTATTCCAGTCCCGGGCAGTGCCAGCTTTGGTCCCTTGAAGCTGAGCTTATACTCAAATCTGCGTCGAGGATGGTGGCCACTTTCACTACTGCACAGAGCCAAGAGCACCAGAAAAAGACCACAGAAGGACAGGGATGGACCTTGGGCCCCCAGCATTGCAAAGCAGCTGGTGTCTGAACACCAGGATGGAATGCAACTTATGAGGTCAGGGATGGGCTCTGGGGTTTGGGCAGGCGGGAGATACTGGGAACCTTCCAGGATCTCCTTTTTGGCTCTATGCTATTCCTCCTCCACCCCCAACATCCTGTTCCTTTTTCAGGTCTGACCTCAGGCCCCACCCTCCCTCACCTCTACCCTGAAGCAGTGGCTGGCCCCTGGGCTTCTTGCCAACTTGAGCTCTGCCCCTGTCCTTGGCTCAGACCATTTTCCTGCTAGACTTCAGCTCCAGCAGCTGGTAGTGGGGTGGGGTGCTCAGGGATGCACAGTGCCAGGCCCTGCCCTTTCACAGCCCTGGTCTCTCCTCCCTGTTGGTGGGGGTGGTCCTCTGCATCCTGTCATTTATTTATTTATTTATTTATTCATTCATTCATTCATTTATTTATTTGTATTTATACTTTATGTGTATGAGTGTGCATATATGTAAGTGCACCACATGCATGTGGTGCTCATGGAGGCTAGAAGAGGGCGTCAGATCCCGGGAACTGGAAGTACAGATGGTTGTAAGCTGCCATGTGGGTGCTGGGAGCTGAACCCAGGCTCTCTACAAGAGCAGCCAGTACTCTTAACCACTGAGCCATCTCTCCAGACTTGCATCCTGTCAGCACATGCATATCCAGCTCTCTAGCCACCCACCCCACTTCTCCCCATAGCCTGGCCTCTCTCACTCTTCTCTCCATCTGTGACCCTCTGTTGTGCTATATGCTCAATAACACATTCTGCCAGCACTCTGGTATCTTCAACAAATAAAGTATATGAACAAAGCAAGGGAATCTTAAAAAACAAAGAATCCGATGAGTGTAGTGGCACACACCTTTAATCCCAGCACTTGGGAGGCAGAGGCAGGTGGATCTCTGTGAGTTCAAGGCCAGCCTGGTCTACATAGCTAGTTCCAGGACAGCTGGGGCTACAGGGAGACCCTGTCTCAAAAAAGACCAAAAAAAAAAAAAAAAAAAAACCGAAACAAAAAACCCCAAAACAAAACAAAGAATACAAGTGTGATAGCATATACTTCTCTTTTTTAAATCTATTTTTATTTTATGTGTATGAGCATTTTGCCTGCATGTATGTAAGTGCACCCATGTGGTACAAAGCCCTCAGAGGCCAGAAGAAGATGGCAGATTCCCCTGGAGCTGGAGTTACTACCTTGTGGGTGCTGGGAATCAAACCTGGGTCCTCTGAACTATCAGTCAGTGTTCTTAACTGATGAGTCATCTCTCCAGCCCATAACATATTCTTTTAAGGAGGATTGCTGTAAGTTTAAAACCAGCCTCAGCTAGATAGTGAGTCCTGGCCAGGCAGGACATCATAGAAAGCCCATGTCTTCAAAACAAAAACGAACAGAGAAAGAACAAATAAATGCAAGCTACAGCTGGATATGGTGGCTTATGCCTATAATCCTAGCATGTAAGAGGTAGGAAAAGTATTTTAAGTTCAAGGCCAGCCTGGGCTACCTAGTAAGATCCTGTCTCTAAAGAGGGAAGGGGCTGGGTGGAGAGATGACTTGGTGGTTAAGTGCACTGGCTGTTCTTGCAGAGGACCCAGATTCTGTTCCCAGCACCCACATAGTGGCTAACAACCATCTGTAACTCCAGTTCCAGGGGACCTGACACCCTCTTCTGATCTCTGCAGGCATTGTAGGACATAGGTGCACTTACATACATGCAAGCAATACACTCATACACATAAAATAATATAATAAATAAAATTCTAAAAAAGAGGAAGGGGGGCTGGAGAGATGGTTCAGCAGTTAAGAACAATGGCTATTCTTGCAGAGGACTCAGGTTTGAATCCCAGCACCCACATGGCAGCTAACAACTGTCTGTAACTCCAGTTCTAGGGGATTCGTCAGCCTTTTTTGTCCTCTGCAGGCATTGCATGACACAGGTGCACAGGTGCAGGCAATACATGCATACACATAAAAATAATAAAATATTTTTTTAAAAAGAGGAAGGGAAGAAGAGAGAATGAGAAGAAATATAAAATACAGATTTTGTTTGGAGCTTAATTTTAACCCACCTGGAAAAAATTCAGACAACTGAGGAAATTGGAACGGTGGGTATTTGCCTATATTAAAGAATTATTGGGTTGGGTGTGGTGGCACATGCCTGTAGTCCCAGCACTTGGAAGGCAGAGGCAGGCTGATCTCTGAGTTCAAGGCCAGCGTGGTCTACATAGCAAGTTCCAGGCCAGCTGGAGCTATAGGGAGACCCTGTCTCAAAAGGCATTTTTTGAGGGGCTGGAGAGATGCTTCAGCAGTTCAGAGAAGACCCAGGTTTGAATCTCAGCACCCATATGGTGGCTCACAACTGCCTATAACTCTGGTTCCAGGGGTTCTGACACCCTCTTCTGTCCTCTGTGGGCACTGCATGACATGGGTGCACTTACTACATGCAGACATAACACTCATCATATAAAATAAAAATAAATAAGTCAAAAAATTAATAATAGTATATATTAAAAAGTTTTTTTTGAGACAGGGTCTTACTGTATAGTGCTGTCTGGTCTAGAACTCACTATGTAGACCAGGTTGGTCTCAAACTCACAGATTTGCCTGCCATTGCCTCAGGAGTTCTGAGTGGGATTAAAGACATGTGCCACCACCCTTGGCTTACCATAAATTTTTAGGCATAATATGGTATTGGGGTTATGGCTGTTAAATCTTTTGGAGAAACATACTAAAGATTTATGAATTCATGTAATGTCTGGGATCTGTTCCCAAGTATTGCAAAGTCTATGGCGAGCAGGTGATATAGAAACACAGGACTGACTTTGAGCTGGTAAACCGTTGAAAATTTTGGAAGTTCATTATATTCTATTTTTTTATTATATTTATTATTTTTATTTTCTGAGTGTATTGCCTGCATGTATGTGAGTGCACCTGTCTTGTGCAATGCCTCGGAGGTCAGAAGAGGGCTTCGGATTCCCCTGGAACTGGCGTTAAGGATGCCACCGTTGTAGCCACCATGTGGGTGCTGGGAATCGAACACAGGTCCTCTGCAAGAGCAGTCAGTGCTCTAAACCACTGAGCCATCTCTCCAGACCCATAGTCTTCTATTTTATTATTATCTTGAGACAGGACCCCATCTAGCTCAAGTTGACCTAGAACTTGCTATGTAGCCAAGGATGACCTTGAACTTCTTATCTACCTGCTTACTACTTTTTTCTTTTGTTCTTTTTGAGACAGGGTCTCCCTGTAGCCCCAGCTGACCTGGAACTTGCTATGTAGACCAGACTGGCCTCAAACTCACAGAGATCTGCCTGCCTCTGCCTCCCAAGTGCTGGGATTAAAGGCGTGCGCCACCACGCCCGGCACCTTTTATGATTTTAAAGACAAGGTCTCATTATATAGACTGAGTACATCATTCTCACTCAGACTCATAGAGATCCATCTGTTTCTGTATCCTAAGCTTTGTGCATGCTAGGCAAGCACTCTGCCAACTGAGCTACATCCTTAGCCCTGTCCTCTACTTTTTATTTATTTTTGTGGTGCTGGACATCCAACCCAGGGAACTCTACCACTGAGCTATACCACAGCCTAATTTTCTGTTTGACTCTTTACATAAAAATATTTTTGGAAAGGTAAGAAACCATATATTCCAAATTTTTCATCCAAATAAAGGTTAGTTTTCCACAGCCATCAACTGATAGAGCATTCTGGCTAGCTGAGATATGACTGGGCTCTGTAACATTGATTAAACCCAGGTTGTAAATGCACACATGCTAAAGGAAGTAAGTCACTGCTCCAAGCTCAGCCCTTAGCCACCTCCACCTTTACAGTCAAGCTGGTGGAAAGATGGGTCCCCCTTCACCTGATTCCTGGTTCCCAACTCTCTAGCAAGGTATTGTATAACAATTTCTTCTCATTTAAAACCTTTCATCCTAGTGGGAAGTCATTAAGACTCAATAAGTTCTAAAGGCGGGAAGTTCTATAGAGAGGCTCATTAAGGCTTAGGAAATAGGGGCTGGAGAGATGGCTCAGCTGTTAAGAGCACTTACTGCTCTTCCAGAGGATGTGGGTCCTGTTCCCAGCACCCTCAGAGAGGCTAACACCCATCTGTAACTCCAGTCTCAGGGGATCTGACGCTCTCTTCCGGTCTCAGCAGGCATTGCATGCATGTGGTGTACTTCCATGGTACATGCAGGCAAACATTCAAACACATAACATAAAATTTTAAAAATTTAAAAAGAAGACTCAGGAAACAACTCTGAAGTCTCAGGAAGTCTCTGAAACTGACCAAATATACAAAGCAACCAAGCTGCCTAGAAGATACTCTCTGACCCGGTGCAAGTTGTGTCCCTCCAGGGTTGCAGCTTTCATGAGCTGTCCCCCATGCTGGGGTGGGCTTTCAGTGATGCGGCAGCCTTAGAGTCATTTCTGCTCCTGTAAGGAACCCTTCACCCATACTTCTATAATAACCCCAGTAAACTCCTTAGTTCACCAAGTTGGACTCTGGTGGTATCCTTACTTTGGTCTGTCCTCAGTTCCCTATCTGGGGTGAGCAGACATTTGCTCATATCAGCACAAACCTGAACAACGACCCCTGTCCTTTAGGGAACTCTTCACACATAGCGATTCCCAAATACCTGCTTCCAGCCCTGCCTTTCCTAGCAATGTCTCTCTCTGTAAGGGCAACTGCTTGGGTATCCCTAAGTACCTGACATCTTGTTCAAACTGAACTCTTCTCCAGTACCAACCTCCTTCCTTACTTCCTTCAGGTTGCAGGGTTCCCCCTCCCCCATGTATCAGAGGATGGCCTTGCCCCTAGGACCTGCCTTAGCCTCTGCCATCACTAGCTTTTTTTTTTTTTATCCACTTGTTTTTTGAGATAGGCTTTCACTATGTAGCCCCGACTGTCCTGGAACTTGCTATATAGACCAGGCTGGCCTTGAACTCAAAGAGATCCACCTGCCTTTTTAAGGGTACGCTGGCTTGAGTGCATCTTCCTTTTGCAGCTCACCACCTCTGCCCCTCCAGTGACTTTCCTCAGACAATGACACACTTTCTGTCCCTGCCCCACTGCCAAGTGCCTGAAAAGCAGAAAAAACCTCCTGTA